TGTGGACCAAGGCCACGGGACCGGCTGATGTTGCCCGTCGTCAGGAGGGGCCCAGCCAAAACCATTTAATCCCCGCACACACAGAGCGCAGAGACCCTTTCTCATCCCCACATGAGCTCAGCCGAGCTGAGGTTCCAAGAGCTGTAACCCGTCGGAACGTATGGCCCCCGTGTGGCCACAGAGCAGGGCCACGCCCAGCCTCTCCGCCGCAGCTTCTTACCTTCTAGATGTTTCTGCGTTTACAGCACATACAATGTTCACAGCTGTGAATCTTGGGAGTTGAGAGAAACCCTTCACGCTCTACATTCCACACTTGATCAGCGTGTGGTTCACCTTTTTTCAATCACATGTTTCCATGTTGCAACTTAAAAACACATTTAAGAAGATGGGGTCCCTGGGTGGCTCAGTCGGTTAAGCATCCGCCTTCAGCTCAGGTCATGATCTCACGGTTCATGAGTTCGAGCCCCGCGTCGGGCTCTGTGCTGACAGCTCGGAGCCTGGAGCCTGCTTCGGAGGCTGTGTCTCTCTCTCTCTCTCTGCCCCTCCCCCACAAAAAATAAACATTAACAAATTTTTTTAAAAAACAAGGTTAAGAAGAAAATTTCCTTTACGTGGGAAGGTAGGATTCTAAAAATCAAAAATGAGTGCAGGGCGTTGTATTTAGAGAGAGCTCACCCAGCCAATGATTTTATCTGGTCTTCAGAACGACACCAGGGTGCACCCGTGAGACAGGAAAGAGGTGCTGAGAACATTTAGGTCGCCATCCAAGCACAAAGGGCTGAATCTGACACAGCCCGGGGGCCTCCAACTCCACGTTGAGCAGAGCCCCAACCAGCTAAGCACCTGTGTTTCCTAATTCCCACAGCCAAGGCCGACCTCTCCCCATCCCCCGGCTGCCTCTCTCCCTCCTGGCCTGTCTTACCTGCGCGGTCACGCCATTCTGGTGCCTGCCTTGGAAGCCAAGGGGAATGACCTCTCTATGACTCGAGGTCCCAGAAGGCAGGGCACAGCTCCTTCACTTCTGAACCCTGAGCGCCTAACACCAAACCCAGGGCTTAGATCAATGTGGAAGGAAGGGAGGGGCGGGGAGGGAGGGAAAGGGGAGAGGGGGAAGGGGAAGAGGTCAAGATTAGGGCGACGATTGTCAACATAGTCTCTCCCGGGTAGGAAACGCCAGCAGGGGCTTTGCACATAGCTCACTAACTGCTAATCCTTCAGGCAAAATAAAGTCATCATCAAAAGTATTAGTTCATGGCCATGGCAGGAGAGTGGA